AGAGAGAGAGAGAGAGAGAGAGAGAGAGAGAGAGAGAGAGAAAACATGGCCTTTCTGTTGCCCCACCTCTGCCTACCCTTTAGGACTGAGACTCACAGGGTGTGGAGGCCCTACCCTATGACGGTCTGGCAAGCACAGAAGTGAGAGCCTGTGGTGAGCTGTGCCCTGTGCTAAGGGTCATAGATGAGACTCCTCCACACGTTATCCACCCTCTGGCTCCCATGGAGGGGAGCGGCAGGCTTTGGTTTCCCTAATGAGCCCTAGAATAGAACCCACACCCTCTGCCAGCCTGGGGCCCCACCAACCACCAGTCTAAATAAAGGGTGGGCTGGCTGAGGTCTCCCCTTGACCCTGCCATCTTTGATGGGGAGTCTGAACCCCAGGTGTTCAAGCTAGCAAAGAGAGTCAACTGCTGAGAGACAGGGCCTGGAGCCACAGAACGGCCACAGTTAAGGTGTGGCCCTTGAGAGGTTCTAGTGTTGGGGAACAGCAGCCTGGACTTTTTCTTTCTGGTGGGACACAGGGCACTGGGCACTGACAGGCGGGTCTGGCTTTCAGGATCTCCACTGGCTACCTGCTCAGTCGCCTGCTTGGTGCATTAGGCTCCTACCCTGGCCACCGCCTGGACAGCCTGTCCATCCTCGACCGGGTGAACCTGGAGAGCTGGCGAGGTGGCAGCCAGAGCCCTGGCCTAACTTTTGACCACCTGAAGGTATGCATGGTAGCTCACCACAGGCCGTGCTCTGTTGCTTACATTGGTGGTTAGATGACATAGGGCAGTGTGACCTGGCAGGTGTGTCCTTCACAGCAGCTCCCATGGTAAGCAGCCACAGGTATTGAGAGGATTCCAGGTTCACCTGAGGAAGAGATCACAGCTCTCGAGGTCTTGTAGACATGGCTGTGGAGTGGTGACATACCACATTAGGCTGGCCTTGGCCTAGACTGGCGATGTGGGAGGCCTTGGGAGCCAGGAACATGACTGGGTTGGGCCATATAGGGCTGGGCCTCTCCCCAGCAGGAGTCTTCCCTATATCTATGAACAATCCTGGCCAGACTCCCCTATGGACTGGAGCCACCTGGGTACCTGTGGGAGCACTGGCTCCCTTCCTGTCCTCCCTGGGGAAGGACATGATAGAGAGGGCTTCCTGCTTGGTCCAGGTGTTAGGGTCAGGTGAGTTGATGTGTCATCAGACACTGGCTCTAGGGAAGACCCCCTGTGTGGACTGAGGCCATTAACTGCTTTCTCACAACCCTGTCTGAGGTGGGGATCCAGTTTCCAGTGGTCATCGGGGTCTGATACCCAGAGGGTCCTAGATGGACTGAGGATTTGGGGGAGGAAGGGGGTCTGAGGACACAGAAATGCAGTTGGGTAACGGATAGGTGGATAGGGGCAGGTATCTATTGAGAGCCTTGGAGCAGAAAGGAGTAGAAGGACTTCTAATGCCCTGGGGCAGGCCCTTTGTGTTGGCCGACAGAGAATGAGCTCTGTTGATGGAGGGGCATGAGGAAAGCCTCAAGGATGGAGGAAGCCTCAGATAACCCTGAGGGAGTTCTGAAGTTCAGACTGGGTCTCAGCAGAGGGTGGAAAGAGAGGCCCAGAGGGGAGAGGGAGGGGCAGAGAGGGAATGGGAGCCCCAGGAGTTGCTAGGTGGCAGATATAAGAGGGCTCAGCACCCGGAGAGGTGGGGGGAGGGTTGGTGGGTGTAAGCTAGTGCAGGGCTAGTGCACGGGGTGCACGGGCAGGTGGTGGTGGGGAACTGTTCCAGCCGCCCGTTGACAGGCAGGTCTGACTCTGTGTCCTGCAGACGGTGCTGCTGTGGGCCTCTGTGCTCTTCCCAGCACCCGAGGACTGGGCAGACCTTCAGGGTTCCGTGTACCGCCTGCTGGTGGTGCTGCTCTGCTGCCTGGCTACCAGGAACCTGCCCCACTTCCTGTACCCGGAGCACAACTTGCTGCAAGACAGTGGCCTGGACCTCGGCGTCATCTACCAACGTGTGGAACACTTCGCCAGCCAGCCTGAAGAGTCCTTACGAATCCATGTCACCCACCTGGGCCACAGCCGTCCACCACGCATTGACAATGGAGTCAAGGCACTCCTGCAGCTACCCGCCAGTGACCCTACCTACTGGACCACTGCCTACTTTGATTTTCTGCTAGATAAGGTGGGTGCAACTGTTTTAGGAGGGAGTGGCTAGAGCCCTGGTCCTGAACCCTGGCCACTCCCTCCCAGGTCAGGAACTCAAGGATGGCTGGGGTAAAACCAGACCTTTGGGGGTAAAGCCAGTCCTCTGGGGTAAAGCCAGGCCTCTGGATGGCTGAGGGTCAGATGAAACATAGAATGCAACCTCAAGAAAGGCCCCAAGGGTGTAAGACTGTTCTCTGGAAACCACGACAGAGTGCCTGAGATTGCCCCTCAGTGTTCCACAGAATTAACCCAAACCACACAGCAAATGCCCAGAACCCTTCTCTACTTTGGGGCTTTGAATTTCCCTGGTCCTCCTGGGGTCCAGTTCCTGGACTTGGCATTCTGATGGTCACACCCTTTGGGACCTTATGTTCTCTGGTCTGCTGTCTAGAGGTGTCTACCAGCTGTCCCTTCCACACCTATAGAGCCCATTGCTCCTCTACAAAGGCAGGAGCTCAACCACCCAACCCCAAATATTGCCTCCAATGCATGCCTGACATTTCTTGGTCAGCATGTGCATGGAAGGAGCCTTCAGCCAGAATTATTGGGGCCTCCTCGGGGTCATGCCTGTGTCAGAGATACACTATGGGGGGCAGGGCTGTTGGAAGAGGAATGCTAGGCTGGTCCTAGGCTGGTCCACCTGCAGGGGTGACAGACCAGGTGGATGCTTGCTGATAGGGTGGTCAGGGAGGACATTGGAGACAGGTGTAGCCTGGCTGTCTGTGACCGTCTGTTCCTGCCCACTACAGTTCCAGGTCTTTAACATCCAGGATAAGGACAGAATCTCAGCCATGCAGAACATCTTCCAGAAGACCAAGACCATGGGAAGTGACAGCAGCTGAGCTGGGATGGGAGGCCCCGTCTCTACCAACCTGCAGAGCTCCCTGGAACTTCTGGGAAAGGAATGGGGATCAGGGAAATCTCTTGGAGTGACTGGTGGGGGGACTTAGTCCCTAAGGACTCCTGTTCAAGGGACGGCCGTGAGAGTCCAAGTAGCTGGCACCATGGTCTTGAGGCAGCCGCCATGTTCCAGACTAGGAGTGAGGTGGCTGGTCGTATGCTTCCCAGGGACCCATTGATCCATCCATTTGACAGTTGGGACAGGTATAGACATGAGGCAGTGTGGGTGTTTGCTCTGCTTATGCTCCACACTACCCCTGGGGGGTTGAAACACTGTGTGTTCAGTGTTGAGCACATTAATGCCCCAGTGTACCCTGTGGAGAGGGTCCCCCACTTTCTGTATCTCTCAGTGCAAATATAGACTCCTAAGACTATGAAAGGTTTGTGTGCAAAGATGGTTTCATTTCAAAACTTCTCCACTCTCAGGTAGAGACTGTCCCCCTGGACAAATGTTCAGAAGGAACTGAAGCCAGAAGAGGGAATTCCACAGCTCCCCTTCCCCCTACTTCTCTGTCACTGGAGCAGTGTCCCCTGTTCCTAGAATCCTGTGATTCACATCTCATTAGCTTGAAGCAGCTTCCCTGGAGCCTGGGACCTCTGGGCTCAGAGACATCTCTTCTCCATTGTCTTTGGCACTTGCTGACATTTACCCCTTGGCTTCAGAACTGTGGACTGCATTCCAGGCTCTGAGGAGAGAACCCATGTCCCATGTGTGTGCAGGTCATCCTGTGTCCCGGTGTCTGCCAAGGACTGACAGCATGTGTCAGAGTAACTACACAATGAGCAAGTGCCCAGGGTCCCTGAAGGTTGTGGGACCAGGGTCTGAGCTATCATCAGCACAAGGGAAATGCTGTGTTGTCTCAAGAGTGGAACTTAAATAGACCCAAGCCCATCCTGGTCACTTCCTCGGTGATAAATATAATCACAATGATGACATTTAACAGAGACAAGAGCTGTGAGTGCAGGAAAGGCCAAGGGGACACTAAATTTTGTTTTAGACAGGGTCTTACTATGTATCCCTGGCCTGCCTGGAACTCTCTAAATAGACCAGGCTATCCTCAGACTCTTAGAGATGTCTGTCTCTTTCTCCTGAGTGCAGGGATTAAAGGTGTGCACCACCATGCCCAGATAAAACTTTGTGTGTGTGTGTGTGTGTGTGTGTGTGTGTGTGTGTGTG